GTAGCACGTGCCGCACTGAATGGCAACATCGCTCTCACCACCGAGCGATAGCGCACGTAGCAAAGCGGCAAGGCCGACAACATAAACTTTTGCGCCATTATTTAGAAAGTTAATTGAGTATTTGCGGATCCACAGCGTTGGATCCAGCACCAGGTGCTGGATCCAACAGGCCGAAAAATGTGATGAATCCAGCTGGATTGCTGGATGAGGGATCCAGCAATTGCAATCCCTAGTTGGGATGCTCAATGAGTCTGAAGTTACATTTTAAATTTGCACTTTGACTTTTTACCTCCAAACCTGGGTGCTGTAAGTGAGGAACAGGGTGAAAGATTCCATCAGGATATCAAAGACATGGAACGATACCAAAAAACTTAAATGTTCGGATGATGGGCGACTACTGTTGGATGCTTCACCGTGAGCACATAACAGAAATTCCCCATAAGAGGAAAAGCAGGGAACACGCCATGACAACTAAGAAAGCACACAATGAATGATATTAGTACATGTTTTGTACCACATTCTCTGTATGCATCTGTTCACTGTGTATATATTTCAATTTGTTGTTGTTTAAACTTGTATTCTACTTCTGCATGATTCGTGTGCCATATATATGTACTACTTCTATATGTGATATCATTATTGGCAAAGTATACGATTAGTGCCAAAACTTTGGTTGATACAATGTTTTGAGTATCATTTTTGAATTCAGGAGGTCAAAATACAAAGAACGCCTACATTTTCAAAAAAGTTTTTTCACTGTTGCATTGTGTTATGTTTGTTAGTAATAGAAAATGATCATTTCAAGTATGGTGAAAACTTTTACAGTCAAACTGAAGGGATACCAATGGGCAGGCCCGCCGTAAGCGGGCGTGCAAGGTGTGCACCGCACACGGGCGGCACGTCCAGGGGCGGCAAATCGAGCGATCGGTCACGTAATAATTAGTCATTGTCATAATACCCACCCTACTTATAGCATAAGAAATGTCTTCGCATGGAGAAAAAAATCCGACTGGCAGCAATTACTATATTCTTATTTATATTATAGCGTCAACAGTGCCTCCATTGGCATTTATCAGAATTAAGATGCAATGTGAAACGTCTGTCGGCAGGTTGAACCATCTGGCAGGCACCCGAAAGCCAAGTACCAATAGTCGTGCTGTATGACAGAAGTTGACAGGTTTGGCGAAAATAGGGAATCCCTACAGAGCTTCCTTCTCAATTTGTACTTGTACGTATTCGAACAATTCTATTGCATATCAAATTGCAATTATTTTGTTAATAATTCTTCTGACATGGGTCGAAGTATAATTAATGATATTTTAACTTGGTTAGGATTTAAATCTGAAGCTTAAAGACGATTCAAGTAGTGAAACAGACATTGACAGTATTGATTTGTTTAATGAAATCAATACTTTAAAGTTGCATTTTCCAGAAAACCAGTCTAATGATCCACAAACCCCATTACAATATCTTTTTACTAATGACTTAATTTCAACAGTTCCAAACACAGCAATAGCACTAAGAATATTACTTACATTGCCGGTTTCAGTTGCATTTGGTGAAAGGTCCTTTTCAAAGTTAAAAATTATAAAAA